CTAGGGGAAATATCTCTTTCTCTCCCCCCCTCTCTCTCTGCTAGCCCTTGGGTAAGGCCCCTGTCTTCAGTTTCTGTCCCTTGACTGATTGGCCATCATCTATTGGCATCTACACTGTGTCCCTGGGCCAAGGTGGCTCTTTTGACATCTCATCAAGAACGGGCGTCATGCGCACCCCCCATGGACTGTAAATGTCATTGTTGGGTGCCCCGGGGTCAGTTCGATGCTCCTCTACCTTCACTAGCACCACGTTCTTCCCCGGGGACTGGTCTCCCCCAGCAGCACGTCCAGAGCACGTGAGATGAAGTCCTGCCATCCTTGCCTCTAAGGGGCATTCTGACTGTACTTCAAGGACAGATTTATCTGTTTGTCTGTTCGTCCATGGTCCTTTCAATATTTTCCCTCAGCACCATAATTCGATGGTATCCATTCTTCTCGGTCTCCCTTATATCCCGTGTCCAACGTTCACATGCATAGGGGGTGACTGAAGATCCCATGGCTCGGGTCAGATGCACCTTGGTCCTAAATGTAACCTCCTTGCTTTTCAACACTTTAAAGAGGTCTCATGCAGCAGATTGACCAAGGCGATGTGCCATTTGTTCTCTCAATGGCTTCCTCCATGAGAGAACACGCACTGACCATGCACCCAAGAGGAATGAAACCCTGACAACTTCAGCCCATTTCCCGTTCATCTCCACGTCACCTGCTGGTCCAGGTGTGAGGGTTGTGGTTTTCTTTCCAGGAGGTGTAAGTGCTCCGAGTTTTCCTTGCTCCAAGCGAGCTGCCCATTGCAGGCGCTGACGAGCCTGCCTCCAATCCCGAGGCCCCGTGCGTCTTCCTCTGGTCCAACTTCTTGGATCATGTGCTCAGTTTGCAGCTCGAGCACTTGATTGTGGAAGTAGACAAGCTCAAAGCCACCGTGAACTAAGACAACGCTCCTTGTCCCGCCCCTTGCCCCTCACCACTGCTGCAGTCCCTTGGCTGTCCCGGAGAGCTCCTATTTATTCTCCAAGTCCCCTTGTCAGAAGGACCCTCTCATGGGTGGACAACAGAGGGTGCTCATGAGAACACTGTTAGTAACCAGGGAATGCGGGAGACCTACAGTGTCCACCAGATGGACAGGCCAGGAGCCAGCACATGAGCCTACACAGGCCCAGTGGGGGCTGGTTCATAGGGCTGCAGGCTTGGCACCCCTGTTGCCATGTCAGCCTGCAGAGGGATGGGGTGATGTCATCAGCACAGAGTTAGGACCCCGGCACCCCAACACTGTGCTCCTTCATGGATCAACAGCCATCCTGGGATCAGGCTTCACGTGCCGCCTCACCCAGGCTGCTGCAGAGTGGGTGATTCCCATTGGAATCCATCTGTGTGCAAAATGTCCCAGTCCGGTTACTGTCCAAGCAGGAGCTCTGTGGAGCCTTGATGCAGCAGCCAGCTGCTCACTGCAGGGTCAGTGGTTCAAACCCACCAATCCCTAGGGGGAGGAAGATGGGGCGATCTGCTCCCATAAAGATGGACAGTCTTGGGAACCCAATGGGGCTGTCTACTCTGTCCTCGAGGGGCATTGTACGTTGGCTTCAACTCGAGGGCAG